AACAACAACAACAACAAACCCTCAAAAAGACAAAAGAATCAAAGAACAGAAAACAGCCCGGCATGGTGGCTCATTCCTATAATCCCAGCTCTCTGGAGGCTGAGGCAGGAGGATCACTGTGAGTTCAAGGCCAGCCTGGGCTAACAAGTGAGCTCAAGGCTAACCTGAACTGCATAAGGAAACTGCCACAAAAAGACAAAAAAGAAAAATTGTAGAAACAAAGAAAGAGGTGGTTGCTAAGGGCTTGGAAGGGGAGAGAAGGGAGAATTGGTATTTCGTGGGTACAGAGTTTAAATTTTGTAAGATGAAAAGTTCTAGGGATTTTTTGCACAGCAGCGTAAATATCATTAACACTACTGTCCTGTACAGTTAAACATCATTAAGATGGTAAATGTAACGTTGTTGTTTTGTTTTTCTGAGACACAGTCCTGTATGTAGTCCAGCCTGGCCTCAAACTCATGACATTCCTCTTGCCTCAGCCTCCCAAGTGCTGGGATTACAGGCGTGTGCCGCCACAGCCAGCTTTTTTTTGTGTGTGTGGTACTGGGAATTGAACTCAGGATCTTGTGCTTGCTGGGCAAGCGCTTGTGCTGCTGAGCTATATCCCGAGCCCTTGTTATGTTTTTTAACCACAGCTTTAAAGAAAAGTTACCCAGGTAATTGTGATGGTGGCTAGGTCTTTGGAAACTGGCAATAGTAGATTAAGGGTGTAGGGAAATTCGGTCCCCTCCCCATCTCCTTCACTTCGTTTCGTTCATTAAAGGTATAAAATTAGTAAAACACCAAAACATAAATAAAGTGAGACAGCAATTTCTTCACCTTTCTGACTCTACTTTCATCTTCTACAGATTGAAAAACTGAAACAGCAGCTGGTTGAAACAAAGGAAAAAGCCCAAGAGGAGAAGGAAAAACTGGTATGTGTGTGTAATGGTACTTTACTTGGGAGTCAGGGCTCTGGTGAGCTCAGGTATGTAACACCCAGTAAGTGAAAAAGAGGGACTGGGGGTATAGCTCAGCAGCACAAGTGCCTGCCGGGTAAGCGCAAGGTCCTGAGTTTGATTCCCAGTACCAAGAAAAAAAAGTTCCAAGTCCGGGCGTGGTGGCGTATGTGGGAGACTGAGGCGAGAGGATCGTTGCAAGTTCGAGACCAGCCTGGGCTACAAAGTGAGCTCAAGACCAGCCTGAACTGCATAGTAAGACCCTGTCTCAAAAAGACAAAATCGGGGGCTGGGGATTTAGCTCAGCGGCAAAGCGCCTGCCTGGCAAGCACAAG